CGGACCATTTCTTCTGGTACCTTCCCCACATGGGGTTCAAGATTTCGAAAACAAAATTTTTGCTAACAAAAAATCTGTTGTGAAAATCTCTGCGAACCTTTGGTCACAATTTTCAATACAATACATTTATCTGTACTAACCTGCGAAACAAGTCAGCAATTCTTTAGTCCAAATCTGACACATCGCAATATTTGTATCATATTTATTTAGGCCCGATACGAAGTGGACAATATTGGCCCATTCCTTCGGAACCTACTCTATAGAGGGTCAAACAAAAATATATTTAACTTATCGAACATTGGCTGAGGGTATACATAGTGATGGCAAAACCGACCGATACTTTATAACGTGCTTATTATTAATTTCCCTATTACCTTCAGACGCACACATGATAATATCAGCAAAGACCTAAAATGTTAAAGACTAGACAAAATGCATTTTGAGCAAATGGTTTGTGTCTACAATACATAGAGTAACAGCTAATGGCAAGGACACGTTTATATAAAAACCACAATTGCAGAAAAGACGAAAAAACAAAAGTTTGAAAAATCCGAAAATTTAGTTTCAAAATTGCATTTCAAAGACCTTTCCAAAAATTTGCATATTGCCTTAGCGGTTTAAATCAGTTAACATTGCTAACTATATTGAGGTATTTTCACAGGGTTGCCATATTTTTAATCTGTCTTGTCCTGTTATTATAATTCTATGTCTTTGATATCTGTCCTTAAAGTAACAAAATCTAATAGGAAATTATTTTTTGTAAAAAAAAAAAATAAATAATAAAATATTTTTACTTCCACCACTGTTCGCCATTAAAAAAATACTACTTAGGATTCTTTTTTTTTTTGAAATAAAAAAAATTTTACAACTTTATTTCAACGCCAGAATTTTAACGATACTGACAGCAAGCGACAAAAAATGAGAAAAAAATAAAACTTTACGACATTTTTAAATATTTGGTATAATTTTTAGACCAAATTACCGCCAAACCTAGGACAACATTATTCTTGGTAAGCTTCAAAAAAAAAACACCATATTTAAAATGAAACTATAAAAACTGCACCAGCACCTCCCATAACCTGCTGCTTTACCACCATTCATTTACGACAATTTAGAATCGAAATAATGCATATGCAAGTGAGTGCCTGCATTTAATTAATTAAGCGCCTGCCAGCTATGCTTAGAAATGAATTACTTAAAGTGTTTTTTGTGATATCTGTGGACAAAATGAAAACAAGTTCGACACATCATTTGCTTTTTTGATTTCAAAGAAAAAAATAGAATAACATTTCTTTATCTAAAAAAAAATATGTAAATTTTTATTTTTCAGAAAACTCCTTAAGCAGTTATTTAAAAAAAAATTAAACGTTTATTGATCTAATTTTCCTTGAAAAATAGTTTTAAAAAATTCAAAATTCTGACCAATGTAGGTTCTTAAAAAATGATTCTCAAAAATCCTTGGAAAAAATCGATTGCATATCCGACTCCGATTGTTCTCAAAAAAATAATTTCTCTTTATAAATCTTAAAAAGAAGTCTTAGCATGACCCCAATGGTTCTTAAAAATTTTGAAACAAATATTCTAAAATTTACATTTACACTTCTGATTATCCTTGAAAAATTCTCTTTAAAAGTTCATGTTAAAACTCCTGATAATTCTTGAAAATATCCATTTTTTATCCTTAAAAATACTCTTTAAAAGTCCAAGTTACAACTCCTGATGATTCTTAAAACACGTCCTTTAAAAATCCATGTTTATGACACCTTGAAATTTTTCCTTAAAAACCAGTATTCAGCACTCCAGATGAACCTTGAAAATATCCTTCAAAAATCCACGTTTATAACTTCTTCAAAAATTTCCTTAAAAACTAATATGCATCACACCTGATGATCCTTGAAAAATACCAAATAAAAAACCAGCTTTTTTAAAAATCCACGTTTATTGCTCCTTATGGGCCTCGAAAAATATATTTTTATAAAGTCACGTTTGTGACTACTAATGATCCTTCAAAAATAATGGCTCCTGAATATCCTTGAAAAATATTCCAATATTATGACTCTGATGGACCTTCCAAAATATCCTTCATGTTCTGGTGATCCTATGAAAATATTCTTTAAAAAACCAACTTCTAATGTCCTAAATCAATCCTCAAAAAATCCACCTTCATGACCCCTGATGATCTTCAAAAAATATCCGCAAAAATGCCAATATAAAAATCCTGATGATCCTTTTAAAACTATCCGTGAATATGAAAATATTATAGAGTTCGCTATTTAAGTATCTTTGAAAGGTCTCAGCTATGAATGCCCTTAAAATAATAATCTGAAATTATCTCAAATTTTTCCTTTTGGACGTTTTTGAAAAATTAATTTGAAAATCTTAATTTTTTCATAAAATATCCTAGAACTCTTAATTTTGGAAATCATAGATTTTCTCTCTGAATGCAATTGAGAAATGAATGAAAATGAGAAATGAATGAAATGAAAATGTCCTCAAAAATTAATCTTAACAAATTCTTGTTCAAACTTAAAATAAAAAAATCCGATTTCTGTACTTGAATATCCTTGAAAAATAGAACTTAAAAATCTCTTTTTCCCAAGAATTTATTGGAAAATAGATCCTAAAAAAATGACAATGAATATCCTTAAAAATGTATTCCCTTTAAATGGCATCACTTTCTTCCTTAAGAAACATCCTCAAAAATTAACTCATATTTTCCTTGAATGTCCTTGACAAATTACCATTCAAAATATCGACCCCTTTGTGGGGGAGATACTAGAAGAAGCCGTCCGATATTTTCCATCTTCACACCAAATCTTGTGTTCATAAAAATATTGGGTTGTGTGAAATTTAAAGACAACCAAATTCTTATTTCGAATTTTATAAGAGTTACAATTATTGAAATATTTTGACCCGTTATTGGAGAAGATACCAGAAGCAGTGGTCCGATAGATTCCTTCTTCACACCAGAACTTGTGTTGGGAGAAATATTGGCATTTACCGAGTTTGAAAGGAATCGGATGCTCATTTCTCTTTTTTTGGGCATTTTGGTTCAAAATTTTGACCCCTTCGTGTGGGAGGTACCAAAAAAAGTATTCCGATATATTTCATGTCCACACCAGATCTTTTTTTAAATAAAAATATTAGGATGTGTGAAATTTGAAGACAATCGAATGCTTATTCCGCATTTTATGGGCATTTTGGTTATTCAAAATTTTGACCTCTTTGTGGGGGAGGTACCAGAAGCAGTGGTCAGATGTATTTTCTCTTCGCACTGGATCTTTTGTTCGTAAAAATATTGAGATGTGTGAAATTTGAAGATAACCGGATGCTTATGTCTGGTTTTGTGATCGTTTTTGTTATTCAAAATTGTAACCCTTGTGGGGAGGTACCAGAAGAAATGGTCCGATCTCTAACATCTTTATACAAGATCTTGTGTTGATGGAAATATTTATATGTGCCAAGTCTGAATGGAATCTGATATTAATTGCGCGTTTTATGAGCTTAATGGTTATTGAAAATTTTGACCCTTTGTGGGGGAAGTACCAGAAAGAGTCGACCGATATATCCCATCTTTACAGCAGACCTTGTATCAGCAGAAATCATGAGATGTGTTAAATCTGAAAAGAACCGGATGCTTTTTTCGGATTTTATAATCGTTTTTGTTATTCAAAACTTTTACCCTTTGTGGTTGATGTACCAAGAGGAATGGTCCGATCACTATCATCTTTATAACAGATTTTGTGTTGACAGAAATATTGAGATATGCCAAGGATGTGAGTTTCGCGTTTTTAGAGCTTCATGGATATTGAAAATGTTGACCCTTTTGTGGGGGAGGTACCAGAAGAAGTGTACCGATATATTCCACCTTCACCCCAGACATTGGATTAATAAAAATATTGTGATGTGTGTAATTTGAAAAAAAAGGGAAAAATCGGACTTTTACATCACCTTTTATAAGAGTTGTAATTATTAAAAATATGGTTCTTTGTGGGGGAGGCACATGATGGAGTAGACCGATGTTGTCCATTTGCGCACCTGACCTAGCACTGATGCAAATATTAGGATTTGCAAAGTTAGAGCAAAATCGGATTATCCTTTCTCTTTCTGTGCAGTAATATATATATATATATATATATATATATATATATATATATATATATATATATATATATATATGTTTTTTGAAAATTTCGACCTTTTGTGGGTGAGGTAACAGAGGGAGTGGACCGATATCGCCCATCTCCGAACTCGATCTAAGTTTGAGGAATGTATGCCATGTTTGGACCAAATTGGATATTCCCTTCGAGAATTATCGCACTAGCCAGTCAGACAAACGGAAGGACGGACATCACTAGATCGATTCCAAATGTCCTGAAACGGGATTGGTCCAAAGAGACATAGGGTCTAAAGCCGTTCTTTCGATGAGACACGTTTTGGCCGTATCAAATGATTTATACCCTCTCTAGCCATATGTCTGAGGGTATAAAAAACGTATTTTCCCTGAACGTCCTAAAAGTCTACAATATTTTTTCCGATGTGTTTTAAAAATATTCTAAAAATATCTATAATTTTTTCTGATTATTCCAAAAAATCAGGTTTGAAATTATCCAGCTTTTACCTAGAAATGTCCTTCAAATTTATTCTGGAAAAATCTTCAAAATCTAACTCTAAATATGCTTTAAAAAATCAATTATTTTTTTGGTTTTGAGTGTCCTTAAATAATCTAGACTAAAAATCTACATTTTCATCACAGTCTTTGAAAATTGAATATTTCTCCATCCAAAACTCCCTAGAAATCCTTATAGATCAGAAAAAATACTTTTGAAAAATCCTCATTTCTGACCCCTATGGCCCCTTACAAAGTATTTTCAAAAAATTTCTGTTGGGTCTTCACATCTCATTCTTAAAACAAATCACTTCTCAAATTCCCAAAAAAAAAATCACCCACCTTAATATAAATGTTATCTACATACAGACATACAAACATTTTTACTTACATCTTGTCCGATTTGTCCCATATCTGCATAACAATCAACCATTGAGAACATCTGATGGAAAATCCAGTTTTCAGTAAAAGAAAAAAACAACAACAACGGCAACAAAACCGAAAACAAAAACTGCAACGGCAACGACGATTGACAAGGCAACCAACCGACGGAACGAACGACCGCAAACAACAAAGTTGGTTATTAAACCTCAATATCGGTTGGATTGAATATGGCCAGAAACAGAAACACGTTTACAACTGGAAATGGCAGGAGAAAGAAACCGCTGGCCAACAACAGAGCAACAAACTTGGCTGGTAAAAGCGACCTCAAAAAAAGGCAAAGCCAAGAAGGTGATCCAAATCTTTGTTGGGAGATTTTCTTTCTAGCTCTGCTGTTCTTCTCTTCTCTCTCTCTCTCTCTCTCTCTCTCTCTCTCTCTCTCTCTCTCTCTCTCTGATTGTGGGTGGATATCACCTCTTTGGTGGTTTTAAAAAAACAAATCCTTAACCGGTTGGTTATAAGTTTATGGCCAAACAACCTTGGTGACCGTGAGTATTTCGGCAGAAAACGGCAACAACAACAACTAACTATGGCTTTGGACAAACTCAAGTGATCCAAAATGTTATTGCCCTGGAGAGTAGTTTTGTTGTTGTTAAATATTGAAACTCTTTGGAGTTAAGGTGAGAAGGGGCTGCCTCACTTGTCCACCAATGACTTTTGGCACCTCACTGTCTGCCCTTTTCTAGGACTGCCGAAACGGACACTAGCAAATCGCCACTTATCAGCGTAGTTACTGTGCAGCAATTGTTGTTGTAGTTGTAGCTGTATAATTCGTATAGATGTTGTTGTTGACACTGGTACCGGGGCTATTGTTGGTTCGTGATTCAAACGCTTAAAGGTATAGCTTTTCTGCTTCGCCACAAATTTCCTGGGACAAAGGGCCCTGTTGATGCTCTCGCTGACGATGGGTTGAACGTTAAATCTCTTCTTTGGAGGTTTATGCGTTGTACTTGTTGTCATTTGTATTCGGACCACAGATGTGCTGTGAAAATGTTGGGTCTCTGTCTTCGGTAGCTACGCCACACCGCGTTGGGGAAAAAGGTATGAAGTGAAGTTTTCCCCGTTTTTTCCAGAATTTCGAATTTTGTTAAATGTTTTTCTCTTTCTTTTCACTTTTTTGTTTTGTTTTTTTGGTTTTGTTTTTTGTTTTGAGCTTAGATTATGAACACAATGTTTGATTTGGTCTGGTCCTTTTTAGGGTAAATTCAGTTTCCTGGAAATGGGAAAATAAAGAAAAAAAATAGAAATTAAAAAAATAGAATTCATATTTTTTTATTTTAAATTTTTAATATAAATTTTTCTGATTTCAAAAATATTGTCAATATCCATTTTAAATTAGGGTTTCAAGACCTTGAAAACTTTTTAAAATCTCAAAAATAGCGAAAAAATGTCTTGAAATATAGGCATGGGGAATATGACCAAATTTGTCATTAAATACCTTCTCCATCAGAGAATTGACAAATATGGAATTTTTTAGCCGTTTCAGGCCATTTAGAGTCGATCTAGGGGTGTCCTTTCGTCCGTCCATCCGACTGCCTGTTTGGCTGGCGAACACGATAATTTTCGAAGGGAGTATGCGACTTCGTTCAAACTTGGTAGATCGTAAAATAATTACCAAACTTAGATCGAATTCGGAGATGGGCAATATTGGACCACTCCTTCCGGTACCTCCTATACAAAACGTCAAAATTTTGACAGAAAATTATTTCCCTTCTAAAACCAGAAATAGTCAATCAATTTTTTGCAAACTTTGCAAATCCTACAATTTTTACTATTTTGTATGTCAGGTGCAAAATTGGACCATATCGGCCCACTCCTTCCTTGGTACCTCCCATACAAAGGGTCAACATTTTTAATAATTACAAGTCTTATAAAGTATGAAATAAGACTTCGATTGGTCTTCGAATTTCTCCCATCCCAATATTCCTACTAGCACAAGATCTGGAATAAAGAACGTATAGAACGGACCACTTCTACTGATACCTCCCCCACAGAGGGTTAAAATTTTAAAAAACCAAGAAGTTTCAACAACGTGAAATAATCATTCGATTCTTTTCAAACTCGGTAAATCCCTAAGATTTTAGGAATGCAAGATCTGGTGTTAAGATGAAATACATCGGACCACTCTTTCCGGTACCTCCCCCACAGAGGCGTCAAAATTTAAAATAATTGTAACTCTCATAAAATGCGAAATAATCATCCGATTCTCTTCAAATTTCCCACATCATAATATTATTGTTAACAACAGATATTGTGGGAAGATAGAATTCATCGGACCACCCCTTCTGGTACCTCCCACACAATGGGTCAACATTTTTGAATAAGTGTAACTCTCACAAAATGGGAAATAAGCACCCACTTGTCTTTAAATTTCGCACATGTCAATATTTTTATGAGCACAAGATCTGGTCTGAAGATGAAATACATCGGAACAATCCTTCTGGTACCTCCCCCACAAAGGGTCGAAATTTTCGAATAATTGTAACTCTAATAAAACTCGAAATAAGCATCCGATTCTCTTCAAATTTCACACATCCCAATATTTTTACTAAAGAAAGATCTGGTGTGAAGATGAAATAAATCGGAACCCTCTTGTAAATCTTTTGTGTCTCGTGCCATCGCTCGTTACCGTGATACTGGTAGCATAGCCCGACGTCAAGGAGGTGGACGGAAGAAAACGGCAGAAATGGTTCGAAAAGTAAAACAGCGACTTGATCTAACCCGCAGTGGCCAAAAAATAACTCGTGAGCTGAACACATCGCAATATTCTATTCGGCAAACATTGAAAAATGAGCTCAGGGTAAGGCCATTGAAATTCCAAAAAGTGCAAGAACTTACACCGCAACAGAAAGAAAATAGACTCAAAAGAGCTAAAGAGTTGGTTCGCTTGGCCGAAAGTGGTGAACTGCCTAATTTGGTATTCTCCTATGAGAAAACATTCGTCGTACAGCAGTTTTTAAACAAACAAAATGATCGTGTTTACTTGCCAAAGAGGTCAGCTGAAAATATGCAACTTCGGTTGGCCACCAGAACTCAAGCGCCGGCCATGGTGATGGTGGGTCGCCATAACAGCCGGTGGTCGCTCTTCGCTCGTATTAATCGACCGTGGCATCAGGATAAATGCCAAATATTATCGCGAAAATAATCTGGAGGGTGTATTAAAGCCTTGGGCAACCAAACATTTTGGCCGCAGACCTTGGACATTCCAAGAGGACTCAGCACCATCGCACTCAGCATGCGCCACCCAAGAGTGGTAACAAATTGAGGTTCCTCGCTTCATTTCCAGCACACAATGACCACCAAAAACTCCGGATACCAATCTGTTGTACTATTGTGTCTGGAGTACTTTGAAAAGCAAGGTAGGCACTAAAAAATAACAAAGTGCCGATCACCTCAAGCAAGGGCTTCGCCGGGAATGGACGAAAATACCGCCGAGCAACATTCGGGCAGCGTGTGACGGTTTCATTGGCCGTTTGAAGGCCATAATTCGTGCCAAAGGTGAGCAATTCGAACAAATCTAAGCTTATTTTAAAATTTGAGGCTGTTTCCGACATTTTTGCTTTCATTGAATAAAAATTAAAAAAAAATCTAAAAATTATGGCGTTTGACTTTGTTGCAGTTTTTTATCTACCTTGTATATCTCTCATAACCTCTCACAAGGGTCAATAGCAAGTCAAAAAAATATTCAAATAAACGAAATCCGACTGATATTTTTTAAATTATTATACCCTCCTCCATACTATGGAGGGTATATTAATTTTGTCATTCCGTTTGTAACTCCTCGAAATACTCATGTCAGACCCAATAAAGTATATATATTCTTGATCAGCGTAAAATTCTAAGACGATTTAGCCATGTCCGTCTGTCTGTCCGTCTGTCTGTCTGTCTGTCTGTTGTAATCTCGCTATCTTTCGAACAAATTGAGATAGAAGGCTAAAATTTTGCACACATGTATACTTTGCCAGTAGGCAGGTTAAGTTCGTAAATGGGCCATGTAGGTCCAAGTTCTCATATAGCCCCCATATAACGGTACCTCCCGATATTCGGTATTTTGATGATTTTACCGACATTATTCACCGGAATTGTTTCAAATTTGGCATTTGAAGTTCGTAATAAATACTAAAACCTAAGACAGAAAATTATCTGTGCAGGTCCACGCCTTCGTGTAGCCCCCATATAATGGTACCCCCCGATATTCGGTATTTTGATGATTTTAGCGACATTGTTTGCCGGAATCGATTCAAATTTGGTATTTGATGTTCGTAACGGATATTACATCCTAAGTCAAAAAATGAGCCATGTAGGTCCACGTCTTCGTATAGCCCCCATATAACAATACCCCACGATATTCGGTATTTTGATGATTTTAGCGACATTATTAAACGGAATCGTTCCAAATTTGGTATTTGAAGTTCGTAATAGATACTGCAGCATGGGCCATGTAGGTCCACGTCTTCGTATAGCCCCCATATACCGTACCCCCCCCCCCCCCCCTCCGATATTCTGTATTTTGATGATTTTAGCGACATTATTTACCGGGATTATTTCAAATTTCGCATGTGAAGTTCGTATTGGATACTTCAGCCCATGCCAGAAAATTGTCTGTGCAGGTCCACGTCTTCGTATAGCCCCCATATAACGGTACCCCACATATTCGGTATTTTGATGATTTTAGCTACATTATAAACTGATTTTTCTTCAAGTTTCGCATTTAAATATTGTAATAACTTATGACAAAAGTTGCCTATGCAGGTCCACGTCGTCGTATAAGCATTCGGTATTTTTAAAATTTTAGCAGAATTTTTAACGGATTTTATTTTTTATTTTTTGTTTTTTTTTTTTTGGGAATTGCCAAATTTGTACCAAATGGTGGAGGGTATTAAAAGTTCGGCCCGGCCGAACTTACTGCTTTTTTACTTGTTTTTAATTCATTTTATTATTATTACTACAATTAAAGAAAGTTATCTTTTTTAGTTTAAAAATGAAAGAATCAAATCCTTCCTGCATTCTATTTTAAAATTTTATTATTATTATTTTTTGTTTGTAAGTTATTTTTTTTTTTATTTTTTTGCAAATTATCATAGAAAAGTGGCGGCATTGTTTGGAGAATTTTTATTTTATTTTTTTTATTTTTTTCATTTTTTTCTCGTTCTGCATTCATTTCAATATTTTGCCATTGTGAGTGACCATTGTTATCACCAATTGACCCATATAAGTATGGGTGTGTGGATGTGTGTGTATATCAGAACGGAACACAAATTAATATGAGAGGAGATGATGTCGGTTGTGATGGTATGGCCGAATGGTTGGATGGTTGGCTGTCAGCTATAAAATCATAGAACCAGATGGCGTTTTTTTGTTTTGCGACTGCTTTACAACATTTCTATGAACAACTGCCGCCATTTAATCGCCTAGCTTTAGATGTTTTTTTTTTATATATTTTTTTTCTTCTCTTCATTGAAAAATACAACAAAACTTTTGATTAAAGAAAAATATTGAAACAAAAATAGGCCTTTATTTCATTTTTTTTAATTTTTTTTTTTTAATTTTTTGCAAATTTTTCAGACAATGGAAAAAGTAGAAAAACAACAATAACTAATCTGCCATACAAAGGTTCTAATTTTAATTTATTGTAGGCCAAGTCAAAACTTTATCAATGAAGAGAGGTTGACCCTCTCTGATTGGGAGTATATGTATGTACGTTCATATAAGGCGGGGCGAACTAAGTGAGCAATGTACAGACACACATTTACATACACCAACTAGTAACTGATTAAGAATTAAATCATCGCTTTTCATAGACTTCGTTTCAAATAGAAAGGGGGAGAGGTTGGGGGCGCAAATTTTGAAAGCTTTGTTCTCATCGATTTTTTTTTTTTTTTTTTTTTTTTTGTTGGTTACTTCTTCCATTGCAAGTTTGTTACCAAGTGTTACGATATGTCAATATGACATAAATTATTAAGGCAACAAAAGCAAAAACAATAGCAAAAAAACAATAAATAATACAATTTATTGTTTGATTCTGGCAGCTGATAAACGCACCAAACACAAAGAGTTAATTTATGGGGCATTGATCATCCATCATTAGCTCTATCACAAAAACAATGGAAACAATTGCAAATACTCGCGGTTCTGAACAAATATGTGTGCGGTAGCGGTTTTGGGAGGGACAAAAATTCCTCAAAATTGCGTACCTTGAAAATTCTGTGATCC